TTAAATTTCAGCTACTAATAAATCAAAATAACTGTTAATATATTTCTCTTTTTAATCATTTATATTTGGCTATAGTTTATCAAACTTTAAATATGAAATGTTTTATATATATCAAAATTTCTGAATATTAAATTATTAATCAACATCCTATTGATAAATTTATCATATTTTTTAAAATTTTAGTTCGTCGTATTTTTTAACTTACTTGTATGTGCATTTTTTAAATGTATCTACAATTTAGTTAAAAAGAATCTAAATAGAAATAATCGTTCATCATTAAAACTAAATTCAAACAATTGCTCTCATCTCATTGATTGAATTTATAATCAAACTTATATGTTTCTTATGAAATTGTAGTGTACAATTGTGATTATGTTCTTGATTCTATTGCTTGAACATTTAGCCTGGACTTCAAAAAAAATTTTCATGAAGATGATGAATTTACAACTTCGGATTTTTAATCAGCATTGTATATTATTAAGTTTGATAATATACAATGCTGATTGAACATCCGAAGTTGTAAATTTTTCATGTTCGTGTTTTATCATCTTTGAATCTCAACTTTTGCTTTTGGTTATTAAAAACATCTACATTAAATGCTTTTGGAAAATTTTATCCTTCAAATTTCTAAAAGTTTCACTTTTGAGCATTAAATACAAACGATCCTAGCCAACAAAAGCGAGATTTATCAAACGCAGCATAGAGAAAAAAAAGGTATTGAGATGAGAGTTTTGGAGATTTTGAAAAGTGATGCTGTGAAAAAAAATATTGTTGTTCATCAATTTCACTCATTGTTCATTACAGCTTCTTCTTTTATTGTTTGATAGTAGATATTATATTAAAGTTGATGACAGATCATGTCATGGTTTGACAAGTGGATCAAAACCTCGCACTAACATTATACAAGGATGTATATCTCATAGGAAGGTAGCGTGGTTACGTCTCGTAGTCACTAAAGTTGGAGTTGAATCTATGACAGAGGACAAGTACAGTAAATAGATTGCGATTGGAACGATACAAGCAACGTCTACAAAGTACAAGGATATGGAGAAATGACACCTCTTAGTTACTCCAGACATAATATGAAACTATGGCAATCGAAAGAGCAATGTTTGTTATAATGACCAGTTCGATTCATGTTTCGCTACCTAGTGTTAGACAGTGACATATCGGAAGGTGGAGTAAAATATATATGCCATTGTGATGCATATTGGGCTAGCCCCCTCATCTACGTGGGGGTTGATTCGGTCTTCCCATGCTTTTGGCAGTATTGCACGGTCCCGTCTCTTGCTTTTCACTGGGAGAGCGTCGAGTGGAGGAGATTTTCATGGAAGTTGATATGCACTCCGGAGACCTGCAGTCTTTATCTGCAGGAAGGCGATGGTGGCAATCTTGACGACAAAAGGAAGATGGTAGGTGGGGGTAAAGGCGTGTGATGAATGAGGCACCGGCTCTTCTAGAAACCTACACTGCGTACAGAACTTAAAGAAAGATCTTTCGTGTCGGGGATCAAGGAAGATGGAGATTGATGATGATGATGATGGATGGGCTGGCTTGACAGCATCTGTCACGCAATGAGCGATACCAGGCCCTGGCAAACATAACATGCGGTCCTGTCGATGCTCTCGCACGAACCACCAAGAAATATATGGCGCAAAGAGTGGGGAGACCCCATCGAACCGTACACGGATGAAACCGAAGGAGTGAGATGGGGCAAGCCCCTCATTAAGAAAGCTGATCATTAGTGCTGATGATCAATATCCCACACGTCACGTCTTACGCGTTAACGAACAGGTCGAAGTCAAAATCTTCTTTTCTGCTGAAACTCGTGAATGGCAAGCTGCAGACCCGAAGGTGCAAAAGTAGAGCGGTCGGGGAGCGAAGACGAGTTCATCCCATCTCCCAATCTCCCAATCGGGTAAGCCTGGAGAGATGGAGACAACATGCGCTTGTGGTCTTGTCTCTCCCAGTCTCGCAAGTTTCTGATGTTGTCCCTTCTGACTGGTGACTGGTGTGCGATCAAGCTCAGGACTTAGAGACGAGGAACGGGCATGCACATGGCGTCGTGTACACATCCACTGAACATTTGCCACAATATCCCCGGCCTTGCAAGTTATGTCAGTGGGCCTGGTAGTGCACATACACGAAGCCCGAGCTGGATCGTAGACGACGACGTAAACTACTCGGGCTGGAAAAGATATTCATGCACATGCATGTGCACATCTTGAAGTAATTTCATCAGAAGTCTTCCCTCTTAACCACCTCGCCTCGCCTTCCCGCGCTTCTCTCAGCTCATAGGTTGATGGAGAGTCATGAGCATGCTTCTGCCTCTGGCTTTCCCAGCATCGAATCCCCCGAGAGACCATGTGATCCGACCAACAGACCAGATTCTCCAGCAGGCAAGGGGCTTGTCGACCTTGTGCCAAAGCTTGCTTCTCTTACCTCTCACGCCTCCATGATCCACAAAACGTCAACATACGGAAAAAGTTGGTCCAAACAACAGTCATGATGGTCGTCGAGGACTCGTAGACTCTTTCCTTCCTGTCATGCACTTTGTTCGACAAAGCGTGAAGAAACTGGAGTCGATGGAGATGGCGCAGGATTTCCAAGAGCCTCTTACTACTGTTGCAGGAACCTGTGCACCACTTACTCTCTGCTTGCAAAGATAAATTAATGAATCAAGCAATCCAAGATCCCGAAGTGACTAGGCCTACCCAGTCACTTTCCCATAGAGTACACACTGTACTGCGCTAAAGTCCCGGAGTCTGGACTCTGAAGCTCCTCAGAGTGGGTACGGTAGCCTCACGAGTACTCGATTGAGTTTGCTGACCAAACTGGATCAGAGTTGACCAGTACCGGGAAGGGACAAAGGGGAAGATGTAGAGAGACAACGAGAGCTGGATTCACATGCAGCAGCAGCAGCAGCAGCAGGACTGGACTCCATAAGACGAGGAAAGTCCAGACTCCGGAACCATGTAGAGAGAGATGGAGAGAAAAGCATTTGATAATGCCAAACGCTACATCTGTGGCTGTCCGTCTCTCTGCACAATTACCTAGACAGACTCTAGTTCACTGTACGTACGCTAGGGGTGGGATTGACAGCACTCCAGACCACCCAAGTGATTCGGGATCGTTGTTGATTGTATATCCAACGAGTAACGGATTCGCACACCATTCATCGTTGCTAGACTCCACCATCACGCCAACAAGGTCGGAGAGGGAACGTCGCGGAAGGAAGAGGTGTAGCCGAGTAGGTCCGGGAGAGTGATTTATTACCGTAGTGCTGAGATGTCCACCATGCCCAAATCGGCATCGAGACCATGGAGTCGGAGGGGCCCGGGCCCTTTAGCAGAAATTGTTCGTTTTTGGCAAGACAGGGTGGAGGTGTTGGTTGGGGTCTCTGTTGCTTTCTATTTCGGGTTTTGCCCTTACACTAAAGCCTTGTGAAGGACTTTCTCAAGGTTCGGCACATTGCTCAAAGGACATGATTGTGTTTTTCTGTCCCCCCTGCCTTAAACAATTGCCTGTGCCTTGAAATCAGTGCGAGCAGATGTGCTTTGTTTGTGCTATCACTAGGCGAACAGTAAGACGAGAACATGGGTGTTAGTTAAGAGAGAGATGCGGCACGGTGGCACCCTGGAGGCATGAATGATTGCCCAGACAAATATGACGATTGCCACGAGAACAGATGCGCTTCGAGATTTGTGGTGCTTTTGCGAAGCCAGCTTCTTATCAAAAGTCCCTTCATTGGTGCTGATGTCTACTTGTCATTGATCATTGCACAAGCTCTTGATTCCGATCCAGATTCTTCAGGACGAGCGCTTGGCCCCATCCCCCATTCCTTCACACTTAACCTGCCAGTGCAACACTTCACAGACCTGCCAGAAAGAGTTACCGGGGTTTTCAACTTAGTCACTCCATTCGTAGAAAATGAAGTAAATTCACACTACTATCGCAAACTTCTGTGAAATTCGCAAGAAGCCGCTTTATTACTTGCTAGTCAACCGTCCACACAAATGACCATAAATATCGCATGAACGCGTTCAAAAGGAGAAAAGTTCTTGGTTTAATTGACGAAAATTCTACGATGGAACCAGGGAGCCACATAGGGCTCGGATAGAATCTCACAAAAAACCTTTTACACCAGGACTTGGTCCTTGCTAACCAGCTTTAAGGTCGGTTACCACTCGAGGTTTTGTGGACTCTATACTTACTCTAGAAAAAATCCCGACTTGCAATATCTCTGTTCGTTCACAAAGCAAAGTGAACATCTAAATCCTGTTTTCAAGTCTCAGGTTTTTAGGTCAGCACAAAGGAGACAGTACAGTAGTGGAGTTCACAAAGATTCATAAGCATACGACAGGTCTACTGCAGGATCCTGGATCCTTGAGGGGTAGTTCATCCGTCATCCGCAGTTTCACTTTTCCGTGTCCCCCAACTTCAAGACCAGGAAGTTGGAACAGCTAGAAGCAGAAGCTATCCATTGGCAGCTTACAATCGTCGTAAACCCACCACAGACTACTGTATTATCCAGAGATGGGGCCGGCTGGCGTTACAGTCTCTTGCTTCGCCTTTTCTGGTTGTGATTTTCGACCTGTAAACGATTTAATATTGCACAGAGTTCACCGGATGGGATGCGATATGTATGGCTTTGAACGAATGTTGGACGGTTGCTGACTGGTATTCCCTTTAGGAGGTCTTGGCTCTATGTGAAGAAGCCAGGTTCATGATGTGACCTCAGTCGTTTGGACACCTTGGAACACCACCTCTCCCCTTCCCAGACACAAAACTTGTGGCGGCTGTTGTGAGATGTGATAGAGTCGGAGACCCAGATCATGACGGCGACAATGAGCAGAACAATAGTTCATAGGACTCGAGGAACGTGAATACTTCAGATATATAATGAAAGGTGTATACAACACATAAACATACAAAGCGATAAGCACATAAAAACAGAACCAGCGGACGAAAGAAAAGAAGCAAGAGACGGAGATCTGATGGGAAAGAATCACATCTATTACAGCTCGATCTTGTACAGCAGATGAGCATCGAGTGGTGCTCCTCACAGTGTTCTTCGTCTATTCACTCTAAGACTACGCCTGTATTGGTTTGAAAATATGTGGAGATAAAAATGAATCTACATACAGTATTTAAATTACTCGCTTGGGAAGGAGAAGAAACATCATATTGTGGTGATAATGAAATGAGCTGCAATAATATGCAATACTACCGTGCACTCATCATACCGATGGAGTTCTTCCAGACTCAAAAGGTCGAAAGTCGACGGTTGGTTTGTTGTGTTCGGTTACGGTCGCACTTCTCTAGAGCTTCTTCTTCACGTGTTGGACAAAGGGCATCTATCCAGAGATACCACGGAGCTGGTCGATCGCTTCTGGACTGAGTCGAGCTTTCAGACAATCCAGACACCTGCGAGGAAGGAATGCCGTCCCCTGGCAGGAAATGGGCTCGCTTCTCCTGCCGCTCTCGGGGCCTCGAGGGGCGAGAGCGAGGGACAGAGAGAGATGCGCAACCGGTCGTGCATCTGGATGCGTTAAACTTCAAGAAGAAACCGTGATCCTGAGAGTCTTCCCGCTGACAACTTTATGTACATCCAGAGAGCAGCTCCTGAAATCCGCAGTCAAGATGCCCGAGCCAACCCGCGGAAGAAGAAGGCGGGGCTTCTTCTTCGTGACGATGAACAACCCAGGGTCGATGGAGCCGAAGCAGCAATTGAGTGCGTCGTATGGCTTCCAAGAAGAAGGCGAGGAAAGCTGGCGGGCCTCTCGGCCTGGCGCCAGGGCCCGTGTACGACCCGGAGACGGGGTGGGCGTGGACAGCGCAGTCGGGGATGGACAGGACCGGGGCCAAATTAGGACGCGAGAGGGCTCGCCGACTTGATCGGGCAAGGGTGAAGTTACTAACAAGCATTTGCGGTGAGGGACTCGTCAAATGCGTGCCGAGGGATCATGATCATGGGTGAGGTTGAAAGGATCGAATGCAAATCGCAACAACAAGGCGCGCATGCGTGCTTGCGTGTGGGGGGTGAGATTAGTTCGTTTAGTGGGGAGCATCAGTGGCTGAGCTGAGCGAGCGAGAGAACGGTCTCGTCGATCAAGTCATTGAAGATGGCGCGCTCCAGCTCGAGCCCGATCTGCTCCAGATTCTCGCGGTGGCACATCCAGTCCAGGCTCTTGCTCAGATCGCGCTCGAGCAGGCTGCTGGACGCGTCGGCCGCGCACGACGGGAACGCCGAGCACAGCTCGGCCCAGGTCTCGGCCACGAGCTGGCGGCCCGACGCCATGGGCCGCAGCAGCAGCGGCTTGCTGGGCTGCACCCACGGGTGGAAGGTCAGGTACGGGCCCAGCTTCTTCAGCAGCACGTCGTTCACCGCGTCGAACAGCAGCCGGTGGTCGGCCTTGCCCGCGCCGTGGTTGCTGCGGATGTGCCCGTCCTGCACCACGAACTGCGGCTGGCTGCCGCCGTAGTAGTCCTCCAGGTTCTCGAACAGGATCGGGTCCAGCGGCTGCGTCGGCGAGTGCCACCGCGTGAACACTTTGGCCGCGCTCTGCGTGAACTCCGACGCCACCAGCAGGTCGCGCACGTACACCAGCTCCTCCTTGCGCCCGTCCGGGTACGGCACGCCCTCCAGGTCCACGCTCTCCAGCAGCGCGCGGTCCTGGCTCAGCGCCTCCGCCGCGTCGCACTTGGGCGTCGCGCCGTCGTGGTACGCTTCCAGGCCGTAGTCGGTCGACTCGGCCGAGTTCTCGGCCTCGCGCACCACCAGCTCCCGGCACTGCTCGACCTGCGGCGTCTCCAGGTCGCTCTCGACCGTGCTGTCCAGGCTGGGTCTGGGTCGGTCGTTGCCGTCCAGCTTCAGCAGGCGCAGGCGCAGGCGCAATTCTGCACGACGCGCAACGCCGCGGGTTAGTTCTGCGCCCCCTTGCTAAACCCTGGCCATGACCGAATCACAACGACCAAATCGACCGAATGCATGAATGCACAAACCTTGCAAGTCCGAGGTGATCTCCTTGAATTCGTGAGGACTGGGGCTCTCCAACTCCTCGAAAGGCGAGTCGAGCACGGAAATCGGGCTGGGCTGTCCACCTTTGTCGGCGCACCCTTCCAGAGCGTCCTCGTCCTCGTTTCTTGAATCCTCTGTCGCTATTGAGCGATATTTGGAACTTCTTGGAGTATGCTCCACGACCGGAACCTGAGATGGGCAGAACACGAACGGCGTAAGCCACAACCGCCATCCTCGATTGAAGCCGACGAGACTAAAAGTTCGAGATTCAATGAAATCGATGGACAAACAAAGTTTTTGTACACGTATAAAGAAAGTAAAAAAATTTAAAAAAAAACAGGACAGAGTCGCACCTCCAATACATCTGTGACGATGGTACTCCTGGAGCTGGAGCAGCTTAGGTCTGCGGCCATCGGGCTGTTGCAGTGTTCCATGGCCGATTCAGTGCAGCACTGATCGGTGGCCATATCTACGTTCACACGGACTTGACCACGAGGAGTGAGCATGGACAGGGCCTGGAGCAAGTCTTGCTCGACCACAGGTCGAGAAGCCGCAGGCTGGGGTTCGTAGGTTGCAGCATCGCTGCAGATGGACATCCTCTTCACGTCCGAAATCTCGCTGGCTTCAGCTTCAGAGTCGCATTGAGAAGGCACATTGAGCCGCCCGCTCCACTCGAGCGGACTGGCAATGTCGCTCACCTCGTAAGGAGCCCCGGAGAAATCGTCCGTCGCGGCCACCGAATGCAAAGACGAATCGTGACTGCTGAGATCATCGGACTGCGATTTCTTTCTGCTCCTCACAAAGATTTTGTTCCTCTCTTTGCTCTTGGCTCTGGCAAACAGACTTCCAACAGCTTCCACTCCCCTCTTGTACGAGTCAGCAAACGGCTTGCTCGCCGAATGATGCACAACAGACCGAGCTGGGGGAACCACCGCTGGTTCGTGTGAACGCTGGTGGCTCAAGGGGCTAGTTGATCGGGTCGACTGCGTTGGTTGTTGCTGCTGCTGCTGCTGCTGCGGCTGGGCCGTGTCCGCCCTCGCTCGCTCCCGCAGAAGCGCAGCATTGGGCACCGATCGGCACCTCTGCAGAGTCCTGGGAGAATTGACGGCGCTTTCATCTTCACTCGGAATGTTACTCACGATGCGCTCTCCCTTCAAGAGCAGCTTGGGGAGCAGCATTTTCTCGTTGCTGCTCTTGTGGTAGGACTCCATCGAGTGCTGCTGCCGGGCATCCGAGAGCACTTGAGTTTCCAGCAGCGAGCCGACTATGGCTTTGCGCAAGACCTTGGACGACATCTGCGAAGAGCTCCGCCGCGGTGAGCTGGATCGATTGGAATCGTTCGGAGACGACGACGAGGACTTTCTCGGAGTGGACAGTCCTCTCTGCAGGTGATGCTGCTGCTCCTCCAATTGCACGGCGAGCAATGCAGCTTCCTTCTCCTTGTCCGCTGCGGCTCGGTCTCGTCGTTTGCCTTCCGCGCTCTTGCTGTTGGTGAAGGACGACACGGAATCCTGAGATCGGACAGTGCGCGCACTGGCAGGGCTGGACAGGCCGGTCCCGGAACCGGATCGATGGTGGTGGTAATCTCGAGCCAGGCTCGAAGGGGTGCCCTCGCCATCGCTGCTGCCGGTGACTTCTCCACTGTCGGGAGCCATGCGGAGCAGAGTAATTCGCCGGCCTGTGCTGCCGCTGCGAGTCAGGGAGACCTCGCCCACGCGCGAAGAAGGCACCTCCGCGCGGCCCAGCTCGCGAACGATGCCTGCCCTCGCTTCACGAATGATGTCGCGAGCAATGTCTCGTGACTCCTTCGACCGCTCGCGCTCCTTGGCCCTGTGCCGGGCGGTCTCCTTCGCGTGGCGCGCGGCTTCGTCGCTGGCGTAATTCTCCCAGCAGTCGACGCTGCGCCGGCTCTTGTCCCGGGACGAGCTCCTGGCCTCGCGGTAGTGCTGCTGATGCTCGACTCGCGACTCCACGGGATAGCTGCGCAGGTCCTTGGACGACGACGAGTCCTTCACCAAGCGGAAATGCCTGGGCGAGTAGCTCGGCACCGAGGCCGGGCTGCCGATCTCCGTGCTCTCGTTCGAGCCGGGGCGCAGCAGAACGATCTTGCCCGGCGAGTACGGGTCCTTCTTGCTGCCATAGCTCTCGAACGACGAGGTCTGCTTGACGTGCTCGTGCGAGGTGCGCACGGTCAGCTCGCGCTCGGCCGTGGGCGCTTTGGCGTCGCGCAGCAGCGCGGCCGACGGCGTGGTCGAGGACGACGACGGAACGGCGGGGCTCAGCTCGTCCTCGGTGCGCGATTTGGACGAGCCGTGCGACTTCTTCTGCTTGGGCTCGGAGCTGCGGCGCGACTCCATGAAGCGCCGGGCGAAGGAGCTGGGGCTGATGCCGCCCTTGCTCTTCTTCTCGTCCTTGGGCCGCGCCTCGGGCTTGGGCTTCTTGAGCACCTCGACGGGCTGCGGCGGCGCATTATTGTACAGGTTCTCGTCGGTCAGCGGCTCCTGCAGATGCTTGTCGAACAGGATGGCGTTCGGCTCCTGGAGAAATTTCAGAAAGAACTCCTTGTTCGACTGCAGCACCTCGAGCACCTCCTGGAACTCGCGCGATTTGTTCAGCTTGTCGAGCGCAGCCGCCAGCCGCTTGGGATCTTGGTTGCTCTCGCCGCGCGCCAGCACAGCTTTGGCCTCGTTCATCTTCTCTTGCACCAGAATTCGTTTGACTTCCACCTCGCGGTTGAACGACTCCGACTGCCGCCGCTGGCGATTCTCATGGCTCTGAATGGCTAATTTCGTCGCGAACTGCTTCTTGAACTCCTGCAGTTGCTTCTCCTGAGGATGCTCGCGGAACGCGAGATGCTCGAAGTCTTCCTCCTTCTCGGAGAGCTGGTCCACTTCAGCACGCTGCGAGGTTTTCGGATTATTGACATCCCTCGCAGACTTGGACTCGGAGTGCCTCGCATGTTCCACCGGGAGCCCTCTCACTTGCTGCACCGCTTTCGAATCCTGTGCTTTCACATGTTCCGGCGCAACCTTCACATCCTTCACGTCCTTCGCATCTTTCAGTAACCTCTGTGCGATAATCAGCTTCTCCTTGGAAATCTTGGGCTGATTCGACGGGGTCTGTGGCTGCTGCTGCTGGGCCAGCGGCGGCGTTGACGTCGCGTCCGGCAGCGGATCGAGTCCCATGAGACGCGCAACCACGCTCGTGCTTCGACGTCTCTTCTCATTGTCCAGGGAGATGGAATCCCTGGGCGGATCTCTGGGGGGATCCCTCGGTGGTGGAGCGCCCGCCTTCCCCAATTTGTACGAATACTGCCCACAATTCACAGACACAAAGCCATCACGCTCGAGCCCCGACTTCTCGACTCTGAACGGCGCATGAACACAGACGGTCTGAGCCTAGCTCTGCAACATGTGAATGGCAAACAATCGTGCACGACACTCACCGGAATGTCCTCTTTCTTGGCTGAACTACATTTGGGCGTCTCAAAGCTTCCGCCTCCTCCACCCGAGATCGTGTCGAGACTATTCCTCGGAGCTTCAATGCCTGTCAGCAGCGCACAGAGCGGGCAGCAGCAACAATGTGAGTCCCAAGTCCTGACCATCCCTCAAACATGAAGTGCACGAGCAACCGAGCGAAGTACACGAGCGAGAGTGCGCTCCGAGACTCCAGCATTCAGAAGGAAGAGCAAAGCAGGACGATGCGCGCGTATCATGACGAGGAGCGGGCACTCTTGTGCGAGGGCGAGGCTCTACTTACCATCGTTGAAGTCTGGATCCGTCAGAAGCTTCTTGCCGAGGAGTGCGCTGTTCCAGTCAAACATGTGCAGCATGCCTCCCATGCAACCGGGCGGGGCATTGTCTGCGTACAGACTAATCTGTCTGGCGACATCACCCCTTGGCATTCTGAGATCCTCCGACGTTTGAAGGTCACCAGTTTGCACTGCGACGGGATCTATCTCTCCGGGTCCTGAAGTTTTGCAGTTCGTCTGCACAGTCCGAGGCACACGGCACGGGGTGAGCTTCGCAGACTACGAACGCAGGTGTCTTCAGCATGCACAGGATGGACTGACTGGAGCCATCGATGCCAGGCCACATCCGTGATGTGTAATTGGCAGGCAGTCAGTCAAGGTTCGAAGCAGCGGACTTTGTTGCGAGCAGTGCTTGAGGGCTCATAGAGATTCAGAGCAACTTCACTCTATTGACTACGGGTCGGAACGGATGCGAGCGCAAGCGAAAGTGGAATGGCATGCTTGAGGGGCAGGAATGTCACGCACCACACACTAATGCCGTTGAATATACAAAATCGATCACGCGAAAAAAGCTGTCAATCCAGAAGTACCGAAATTGTGCTGTCGCGCATGAGAGAATCGTTTGGACCTGAGCACATGGCGGAAAGACAGAAGTCAGACAGGAACGCGACATCGGCTTCGACTTGACCCAGAGATGCAAGCCACACGGCGACTGTCGGGGCGGACGTGGCGAACACGCTGCACTAGGAATTCGGTGACGAATTATTCATAGTAATCGACTGCAGCACAAGGGCGTGGAAGCTAGCAGCAAGAGAAACGAGCTCCAATTTCAGATCTCGGCAGAACAGCTGTGAGGGGACGGAATGCACTCACAGGAAAGGCCACGCAAGCCTGTCGCAGCAATGTCTCATTGTCGATCACACTAAGTAACAAAAGAATCGCCACATTATGTCAGATCGATAAGTGTCGACTCGGAAAATCTCATTAGAAGCCATTCGCCAGCCTTTCTCCTCCCTACAATACTGCTTCGCTACTCCCTCCAGCAAAAAATAAAATCAAAGCCGTTATGATTCTCCACTAAATTCCGTCGTCGCTTCTAGAGCACCGTAGCCCCCTCGCCACGAACTACGAACACACTCGTCCTCACACACTGACTAGCAAATGTTCTCGTTTCCTCCGGTGATTTGTTGTCCGATGCGTCTGTCGGTCGGTCTCTCGTCTCCTCTCCTCTCCTCTCCTCTCCTCTACTCTCGTCGTCGGTCGTTGCTTCGTCACCTCTCAAATGCTCGTGCGTTGAGGGAGCTGGTGACTCGTGCACCAGAAGAGCGGAAGCCTCCGTGCGTCGACGACACTTTACAAGTCACAGGAAGGAAGAAGCCACAATTCTAGAGAGTGATGGTGAGGGAAATGGTGCATTCTCTCTTGTCTAACATTTCTGCCCCTCCCGGCCCCTGCCTCTGGGCTCATTCGCGACTCGAGTCCTCTACTCGCCTCCTCTGCTCTCGTCTCCTCTCCTCTTGCGAGGCAGGCAGCTGGCATGTGGGGCCCGGGCCCGGGCTCGAGAAAGACAGACTCGCTCGTGACTTCACTGCTCTTGCTTCAGCCTGCGGACCCCGCCACGCACTCTCGCCCTCGCCCTTCCTTCGTTCGTGAATCCCAGTCGCCCTGGGCTGGAGCTCCTTTTGTCCCCTGAGCAGGCGGTCGGTCCGTCCGTCAGGCCGTCAGGCGCTCATTCCAGACTCGACTTTCACCTCTAAGGTCATCATGATAATTACAAGTCCTAATCACCCGTCGACGCAGGAATGGGGAATCTGCAATAGCAACGACCAGCAACCCGTCCCGAGAGAATCATCCCGCTCATGCTCAGTGCTTATCCCCTCCTCCCACGCGAGGCTGCTCAGCCCAGATCAGGACTGGTCAGTCAGTCGGTACGCTTTCACAGACATCCTTTAAATTCTCTTTACAATATTTCGCCAATTCGATCCTGCGTCCGTCAGATCCGTATCCGCATGAGCCCCTTCAGTCGAGGGCGTGACGACGCTGCGGCGCACAATGACTGCGAGCCCTGTGGCGCACCGGCAAATGAGATTTCGCTATGGCGAGAAATTGGTCGACCGAGCTCTGTCATTCACTAGCGCCCTCCCGACGTTGTACCTCGAAGTACTCCCCCCTGTTTCAGGTTTTTCCTTCTCTGCAGCCAGTTGACGGTCGCATCCTTCCCCCCTCCATACATCCATACCAACCATACTCTACTGTTCTCCCGTGTATCAATACACTTTCTGACCACTGTCGCACCAACAGTCGCCCTTCCTACCTCTGTGTTTAGTCAGCGCTCTGATGCACTACTGTACTCAGCCCTCGACCACGTTGAGCTTCCCCTCGAGTCTCACTCTCTCCTTCTAATAATACGTCTACTGTGCTGCGACGAATCTTATCTCCCGTTCCGATTGAGGGCGAGGTTTCACTTCTTACTCCAGTCGGCCAAGGGTACCTGAGCCAACTGTGAAGTTCAGGCCACACCGAGATCCACTGCTAGTTTCCGTGTCGAGCGAAGACAAGTCAACATCTCCGAAATCATCGAGATGTCGTGCAACGGAGCAGATGATCATACTTGACCTTAGCACAGCAGCCTCACCAGAAAGAATCGGAATGCCGTTGCACCCATCATCAAATTCCAAAGCGTAGAGGTTTAGCGACAGCAAATTATGAGCGAACGTGAGAGTCTATTATGCTATCACTTTCTCTGAATTGATGTACAGATAATTTTAGCTAGTGTGATTTATTTTATTTTTGTGAAGACCACTAACCAATGCTTTACACATGATTCCTATGGTATATATGATGCATCATATGACTTCCTTGCTTATATGTCATTTGACATAGATATATTGGGATATTGTATGCGTCAACTCATATACTTTTCATCCAGATACAATCTAGACCTAGATCATGGGTTCCTATAGCTTCCTTGCTCGTTCAGGTTGGGTCTTACATCATTTTGGATATACCTCTTGCCCCACTCTCCTTACATGACTTCTCTTGATTAGCTAGTTGGCTGGTGTAGGCAAGCCGAATTTTCATTTTAGGGAGCTGAAATTTTATGTCCGTGAAGTTGCGAATTCTATCTATCCTTGCCATCTGATCGTGAAAGAATATCACTTTGCCAATGAAATCAGCGATTCTGGCTAACAATTATTATAACAGTGACCAAGAAGGCAGCCAAACCACGCCACATAAGAAGCCCCGCACATTCCCCTTTGACCCACCACAACAGGAAGGAATTTCAGACGGCAAGGATATATAAAAGGCGCTGACTTTCTGAGTAGGTTACATAAATCCATCAACGTAACTTGGGGGCCAATATTCTCCATGTGCTGATACTTCCGAATATTCACCTCCTTGCATTGTATAGCTTAGAAATCAAAAAACTTGGTGAAAAAATATTATATCGAAATTGCAAAGTGGTAACAGCTGCTGATTGTGCCAGATTATTCGACGATCTCCAACTTGGAAAGTTGATGTCTCGAACCACGTTCATCACCATCTTCTCATCGTGCTTCAATTATAAACCATGGTTTTGCTATGGCCGGAGGTTTGATCCATAACTCCAAGCGTGGTGAACACAAACAAACAGCCCTTGTAGTCTCCCATTCACATAGGGAAATGATTCAATCGTCAGAGAAAGATTCAAGGCCAGAAGGCCATGAACGTATTATCCAAATGATATGTGCTCGTCACGGGCAAAGCTGTGGAGACTCCAGATGCACACAAAGGGGAGCGGCGCCAAAAGTATTTTCGCAGCTTTCATATATCATGAAATTGGAGAACGCCGAAGACTCTTTCTCTTCTCCTCTTGTGCGGAAAACACGCCGCCAATCATCGTGAGCACAGGTCAAATATTATCAAGGTGCTCGTTCCAGCCAGACAGAGGAAGAGGAGGTCGTCAAGTGGGTCATTTACAGGTAACATCAACAGGGCGTCGGCGTCAATGAAATCGCATCTCATCTGATCGAATGTCATGCATGCCCACGGTAGCAGGGCGCGGGCACAGTGATGCGGAGGTGGTGACGTGGTTAGCATCGCGACCGTGGGACGGCGATCCGACCACATGTTTGGCTCTCAGTCGGGACAGAACAGTCGCGACCTAAAACAGTGACGGCACTGGCAGACGAAGGGCCCAGAGAAACGGGGATTGCCAGCGAATACATGTATTATAGCAGTGCGATGTAGCACTGTATGCATACGTATGTGATGGACAGGCAAGCGCGTTGTTCTTGTAGCAGTGGTTCGTGCCTAGGAACGCGAGTCAAGGCAGCGGACGTGATCCCGATGGCCGCGAGATTGGATGATGCAAGCTATTTGTGCCAGTTGCGCAGCCAAATTGGCGACGACGTGAGAGAGAATTAGCCGGAGCCGGAGCGCACTGGTATTGGATGCGCACTTTGATTAGGACCCCATCTGTGGGGACTGCTCTTAACTTAGCAGGTGCCCAGTCATTTATGAGGCGAAAATTTCGTGGACTGTGACTTTAAGTTGTCCGTTAGATGGTCCTGCACCGTCTAAATCAGGATCGCAAGCGAATGGACCTTTCTTCGCGCATGCCTCAGAGTCTCGGACTTTGACTCGTAATTATGAGCTGATTACACCCGCATTACACAAATCTTCTGATCCCGTCTGTTCCACCGAACAAACAGATGAACATGGTTACAGCCATGGCCTCGGCACAAGGCGAGGCAGAGAGACAGAGGTTCTGCAAGTCCTTTGGCCCTGGAAGATGATAAAATACAGTGCTGTACGGGAGAGAGACCCGTAGAGCTAAATGGAACCATCTGATTTCCATAACATTAGCATTAAGTGGACCACTGTAGTCACGGCTAGGTGTCGAGTGGGAGTAGATCCCATTCAAGACACCATGGACAGGACAGGAGCAAATCATAGACTCGGGTATACCTGTAGTAGAGAGTACAGTACAGTAGAGAGAGTAGTAGTTGTTACACTTTTACATCAGCGCCTTCTCCAAGTCATTATCTCGCACGAACGGTAAACGAACCGGTGAAATCAACGCTCGTCGCGCCGCAGCGGTTTCTTTGTCGAGCCCGAACGTAATGAAGCACATTTCGCCATCCAATTATATGCACAGCCGTTGGAGAGTTACTTAAAGCTGCGAACTACAGTCGGAGTTCTAACTGGAGTACGAGTCACGGAAATCATGGCCGTGCCGTGCCGTCCGTCGCCGTCCAGCCGTCGGAGGCTCGAGAATCACGAGCCGCAGAGTTCCGTTCGCGTACCATCGAGCGAATCTAAATATACTTGCGGGCCATTTGGAGGGCTCCGCTCGCAGTCCATGTTTTGAGTGCTCAATGTCATCCCCGTCGTCCTTCTGTATCTAGCCCATCATTATCCGAAATGCGGAATTGAGCAGAAATGAGCCTTCATGAAGAGCCGGAGCCGGACAGAGAGAAAGATTCTGTAAGATGTGTAAGGTTGGGGTCCTTCTCGAGCCAAAAATTTCCGCTCCGTCCGCATCGTCCGAGTCGAAATGAATGGGCAAGCGAATGATGGACAAGCGGGCTGCGATAAATCATGAGACCCTACATAAAAATGATTAAAATTTATACCTCATGATATCCACAAGATTGTGGCCGATAGTTTACGGTAAAATATAGCCTCATCATTTTGCTCTTGACCCCCGCGACTCTTAATGGACGGAAGTTGTACCAACAGTCGAGTCGTGGACTGGAACCAATTATTGTCCTGGCTGGAGCGCGATTAATCCCGTCTTCTTTCGAAGCCATAAGGGCGGTGGAGGTCGACCGAGGAGAGGCAAAATTCGCACCGTCCTTCGGCAGAGCCCGCTGACTGGTGCCCTGCGATGCATGCAGCTTCCTCTCCCTCCGATGGCCGAACATGAGCATCTTGCAGGACACTGTGGAAGGACACATGGAGCTATATTCTCTAGAACACTCACTCAAAGTCTCCGCCAAATTAAAGCGCTAGTTCCACTCCTCTCATCGTCGGCACTGGGACGAGCTGCGAGCTGCGAGCTGGTGTCAGTCGGCCGGTCGGTCATTCACAAAGCACGCTTAATGTTTCGTAGCCCATAAGTAGTCTCAGGAATTAAAAAAATCGCCATGGATGGTTTGTACCCCACACCACCCCACCCGAAGGGCTCGTTCATGAGCTTGTTTGGGCTTCGTCTCGCTCACATGGGGTCGTGCGCATCGGTGTCACGCCTTTCTAAATCAGAGCAGCAGAGGTGGAGAGATGGGCGAGCCTTCGACAGCCGGAGACAATAAAATAAAAATAAAGTCATTTCGACCGCGGTGGTGGCAAGTAAAGCTTGTCAGTTACACATGCGCATGCAAATCCTCGAGCTCCGAAACTTTATCCAAAGCTTGTCTGCATGAAGGCCAGAAGTTGCACATGTTTCATGAGAGTTTTGCCCACAGTGGAGGTTTCATCCTCCGAAGGTGGCTTAGGTTCGTTAAAAACAAATCCCTTCGTCGTCACTGTCAGTGCATACACGTTGGCGTTTGCCTGCCAAAACTTCATCCTCCAAACTATTCAGCGATGATGCGAACGGGTTTGTCTGCTCTCGATTTGGCTCGAGACGTCCCAGATGTTCTTCCCTACTTGCTCACATGC